TGCGTGTCGATCATAGTAGGATTTCTGATGCTGTTGCGTCGTTTGAATGTTTTCGGCGGTTACCCTGTACGCGACGACAAGACGTTCCTTCAGAGATCGGACGTACTCCCCCATGTTGATGGCCTCGGCGGGAATTAGCGGAAAATGGAGATCTGCCGGCAGTCGCAGCTCATGGCCCAGCTGAAGGAGTGCGGGAGAAAATCCAGTCGAGTCATGGACGGCGGCCCGGTATGCTAGCAGGCCTTCGGACAAGTGCTCGTCCCACCTGTTTGAGGACTCGCGGTCGATCAGTGTAGTCAGGATTTTCTTGATCGTCCTATTAGTTCGCTCGACTAAGCCGTTTTCTTCCGGATGATAAGGGGTGGTATGCGTCTTCTTAATCCGATGTTGGGAGCACACCTCGGCCAAGAGGTGGTTTTCCAATGCCGTGCCACGATCGGAATGTATTATTTCCGGCGCCCCATAACGACGACCCAATCATTAATGATGGCCGTCGCTACTGACTTTGCGTCGTGGGATTTTAGTGGTATTGCCTCAACCCACTTTGTAAAGTAGTCGATGATAACCAGTATAAACTGATTACCACGAGGACAAGTGGGCGACAGTGGCCCAATTATATCTACCCCGATCCTGTGGTTGGGACCGTCCACGGCGAAAGGCTGTAGCCGAGCTCGAGGGGTGGTAGTCGGTGGCTTGATCTGGGCGCACACTAAACAGCCGCGACAGTAAGACAAAACATCCCGGTGTATTGCCGACCACCAAAATCGCCTGCGAAGGGCTGCTTCCGTCTTGCGCTGGCCTACGTGCCCAAGCTGATGATTGAGCTGGTCTATCATTTCTGCTACCTTAGCTTTTGGCAAAACCAATCGCGGGGACTGGTCAGCACGTGCCTTTAAAAACAATACACGATTCTCTATCCGTAATCGGGCCCAATTCCCCCATAGCGCGCGTGATGCGGCTGACTTCTCTTCCATCACTCTACCGGTCGGTTTGCGAGAACCATGTAGCTGCCAGTCGTGGATGTCTCCAAAATCGGCGTCTTCCGCCCGGAGTGTAGCCCATTGTTGTGCCTCATCAGACGAAAGAACGGCGTTCACGGTTCAAACCGCATCGTCTGGGCGTTTCGACAGACCGTCGGCGTTGAGGTTTCCGCAGCCAGGGCGGTATGTACAGGCATAATCGTATTCTTGCAGTTGCTGCTGCCAACGTGCGATCTGTCCCTCGGGCTCGCGGAATTTCTGTAGCCACTGGAGTGCACTATGGTCCGTACGAACTAAGAAATGACGGCCCAGAAGATAGGGACGAAAATATTTAACAAAAAAAAACCAACGCTCACATCTCACGCCTAGTAGTACTATATCGTCATTCGGGTTTGCTTAACTTTCTGCTAGCGAATGCAATCACCTTCTCAGTATCGGCGATCTTTTGAGACAGAACGGCCCCAATAGCCGTATCGCTGGCATCAGTATCTAGAATGAATCCACCGGCCGATTGAGAAACGTCAAGCAGAGTGAGTATAGGCGGAGAAGTCAAAGCCTGCTTGAGTTGAGTGAAGGCTTGCTCACACTCGTTCGCCCAAAGAAAGGGTCGTGACTTTTCAGTCAGATGGTGTAGGGGCGCGGCGATGCCAGCAAAACTCCGAACAAACTTCCGATAATATGACGCGAGACCGACGAAACTACGAACTTCTTGCGTTGTCTTCGGTGTTGGCCACTCGAGGATACGGGAGATGGTGCTGGGGTCTGGGTGTATACCAGAAGCCGATAGGACGTGTCCCAGAGACATTGTCGGCTTCTGTAACAGCTAACACTTGGCCGTACGCAACACAAGACCAGCGTCCTTCAGTCTTGACAGAACGGCTCGTAGCTTTGCGCTGTGGTCCTCGATAGAGGTGCCGTGTACAATGATGCCGTCCAATTAGATAAGCAATACGTCGGCGTTATATCACGCAACACGGTTGTCATCAGCCTTTGAAAAGTGGCCGGTGCGTTTGCCAAACCGAAGGGCATCACGTTGAACTCATAGAGTCCGGAGAGAACCATGAAAGCAGTCTTAGCCCGATCAGCCGGATGGACGTCAACCTGCCAGTACCCGGACGCGAGGTCTAGGGTCGAGAACCAATTAGCTCCCGAAATCGCATCAGTGGTGTCGTCAATTCGGGGCAAAGGGAAAGAGTCACGTTTGGTTACGGCGTTCAAGCGACGATAATCGACACAAATTTGGAGTGAACCATCCTTCTTCTTAACAAGGACGATAGGCGATGCCCAGGGGGACGATGAAGGTCGGATGATCTCCTTATCCAACATGTCACGAATCATTTTCTCGAGATCCTTCTGGTAAAACACGGGGATGCGGCGAGAGGCCTGGCGGATCGGTCTAGTATCCCCAGTGTCAATTGAGTGTTGCAGGACA